CTGCCAGGACCCCTCACTGTGGGTGTCCCTCCCTGGGTGGGCTTTTCTGAGTTTCTTGAACAAATACCCTCCTTTCTGCTGCATCTGGCCAACAGCACTGTCTAGAAGAATGTATCCTGACTAGGGGAAAAAAATAAATGCAGCTTGCAGCTTGCTCTGCAGTGTGTGTGTGTGTGTGTGTGTGTGTGTGTGTGTGTGTGTGTGTTGGGGTGGGGGTGGTTAAGGCAAGGGGGCCTGGTGCCTCCATGTTAGTGGGACACCAGAAAGGAAGGACATGTAGGAGAGAGGGGAGTGAGATCCACAGTGCTCAGAGCAAGGGGTGCCACACACATGAAGAAATGAACTCCTACTCACCCTCCCCTTTGTCGGCCCAGGAACTCCTTCTTCATCACCACTGTGATGGCCACAATGGCAGCAATAATGTCCACCTCCCGGGCTGACTTTCTACCGGGCTCTGGGCTCCCACTTGTGCCAAAGAGAATCCCAGCTCACAGCAGCAGAACTCTGCTCCAAACACTGAGTCCTTGAAGCATGGTCCCCACTCAGTCACACCAAGATGCCTGAGAGTGTCTCAAAAGAGGTCATTCTCCACCCCGTGCATCCCACAGAACTTAATCCTTTAATTCTGTGGGGGAGAGAGGGGCTATTTAGCAGCACTGTGCATCTTGCCAGCTCTCACAAGGGTTTTGTGCCCATTGCCCAATGTGGCATCACACCCTGATCCTGGGGCAGTCCTCCATTGGTAACCACAGCTAAAAGATGTGGAAACATTCTCTGTGGATAAGGGGACAGGGTGAGCTTGGTACTCAGAATCCATTTAAGCCTCATCAGCTTTCCTGAGGAGATACGGTTATCACCTCCGTGTATTTTAAGCTTCTTTGTTTGGGAGACTCCCTAATAGTATTCAGGAGCTCTGGAGGGTCATTATCAGTAATACTTGGCCAGCTGGGTCAGAGGGTTCTAATGTAAGGGCCCAGAATGTGGTGCTGATGGGACCCTGAAGTTCTGGGAAACACCAGGATCGCCCCAGCAATTCTCAAGGGGCCTCCAGAGTTGCTCCCAGTGATGCTTGGAGGAATCATATGATGCTGAGAATTGAAACAGGGTCCTGTGCAGACAGAGTATATGCCCCCAACTCCTGCACCATTTCCCCAGTCCCTTGCCTCTGTGTTACTATGAGAAAACTGTATTCCAGGGAGGTTAAGTAGCTAGTCTGAGCACACACAGCCTCTTTCTAGTTCCCGAGCCCCCAGCCTTTGCTCCTCCATGTTGCATTTTCTGTCTTGGTTAGGTTTTCTGAGAGAAGTCATTTTCCCCTTTCCCCTTCCACTCTGTATACCCAGTGCCACTCCCACTACCCAGGACCTATGCAAGGCCACTATGTCACAATCCGTGAGCTCAATCCTCTCCCTGGGGCGGGGTGTGGGAGGAGGAAAGAGTGCAGGTCTGAAGGATCAGATCTGTATGGACAGCCTAGGCTCCATCAAGTTTCCAGGAAATTCTGTGGCCACCAAACTGATGGCCCCCAAAACTCCTCCTGTGGTTCACACAGGAAGGGAGTGGGAAGGCCCATTTCAGAGTCAAGGATGAGATCACTGGTTTCTGTGCCCTGTCCCTCACGGGGGTGCAGTGCTGAAGGATTCACCACAGGACAAGTGCACTGGCCTGAGAGTCAGGCAGTTCCGGGAGCTGTTCCTGCTCCCTCCTTCCAGCCGGAAGCTATAGGTGGGCCTAAGAGCAGAAGGACCAATTCAGACCACAGAAAGCATGTGGCTGGCCCCTTAGCACAGTCTGTGCATTTCTAAATGGTCAGAAGGGAAGGAAACACGTTTTGTGGGATTTGAAAATCAGGTGAGGCTTCAGTATCAATGGTGACAAGAGTTCCCAGGCCTCAGCCACACCTGCCTCTCTCTGTGGTTGGGCACTACGCAGGGCGGAGCTGTGACCACAGGGCCTGTTCAGCCTACAGAGCTGACAATATTTTCTGGGAGGCTCTTAGAGAAACCCCCCTGGACTATAACTGTGGTTCTCAACCCCAACCTGGGGACCGTATTAGTTCCCTGGCTGTACATTCCATCACCAGAGTTTCTGACTCAGCCAGTGTAGTGGGGAGCCCAGGAATCTGCATTTCTAATATGTCCCAGGTGAGACTGATGCTGAAACCAAATGTGAGGTCCCGGTGGTCTTCACAGCTGACCGTCAGCCTCACCCTGGAAGCTCTGGGCCCCCAGGAAATGGTATAGGTTTGAGAGGTAGGAGGAGGGTATCCTACCTGGGATCCCATGGTCGTTCCCATTCCCTGGTCAGGCTCCCCAACCCCTGGCAGCAGCAAGACTGGCACTGGCCTGGCCTGTTAACCTGAGGAACCTTCTTGTTAGAGAGAAGGTACAACTGGGGGTGTGGGTTACCGTTAGAGTATTGATCTTAAATGTATGAGGCCTGGGTTTAATCCAGAAGGAAGGAAAGAAGGAAGGAAGGAAGGAAGGAAGGAAGGAAGGAAGGAAGGAGGGAGGGAGGGAGGGAGGGAGGGAGGGAAGGGAGGGAGGGAGGGAGGGAGGAAAAGGAAAGGAAAAGAAAAGAAAGGAAGAGAAGGAGAAAGAAAGGATGAAGAGAGAGGGAGAGAAAGACAAAGGGACAAAGAGAAAGAGGCAGTTAAGAAGATGGGAACACATTCCGAACCCCCAAAGTTTGTAATTCTTTTCCCCATAAGGAGTCCTAGTAAATCCTAGTAATTTCTAAAAGTAAACTAAACTTCTAGAAATTTAAGAGAAAATCAAGCATGCAGAATAGGTTACTCATTGCCTCACCAATGGTTTGTTAGATGACAAAAATAGAACTCTGGCTGGTCACTTGCTGTGGCCCAGAGCAGGTGAGAAGTTCAGGCAATATTTGAACTTGTTCATCTGTGCTCAACCCCAGTAGGCAGATCTGCCCTAGGGGTATGAATAGACCTGCATGGACAGACCCACCTGCAGAGCCTCAAGAATGTGGATCCTGAAACTGACGGTTCCGATAAGAGACTGGGGAACTGCAGAGGGGGCTGGGGAAGGGGCTTCCAACAGGAGTAGGTGGCAAGGTGAAGCATGCTTGTGGGTTAGCAAGAGCTTCGACAGGAAGAGAAGCATGTTCTGATCCTGGCTGTGCCCCTGTCCTGTGCCCCAGGGAAGGTGCTTACTTCTCTGAGCCTTGAATTCTTCTGTGTAAATGGGGATTACTAGGCACTGGGTTTGAGGCCTGGATTTGATCCAGAAGGAAGGAAAGAAGAAAGGAAGGAAGGAAGGAAGGAAGGAAGGAAGGAAGGAAGGAAGGAAGGAAGGAAGAAGGAAGAATTTGTGGTGGTGTTTGAACTAATGTACCTAGAGCAATGGGTGCATAGTAACTGATTGCTGCTATTATTACTGTAACAGCTATTTTTACTAAACCAGGCAGCGAGTTTGCACTGTCAGGGCTGAGTAGTTGAATAAGGCTTAGGGGCAGAGACAGGAAAGGGGTTAAGTTCTTACAGCTGATTCCCCAATCTGTCCTAGTACTGCATGCATGGCCCAGCACCACCAGGAATGACCTCATTACAGAGCCAGGAACAGCCCTGAACACTACTTGGTAAGTACCCCTGTGCCCCCACAAAGAAGGCCCAGTCCTTGGAGAGAAGGAACCAAGTCCTTTTTGGAGATTTTGAGGTTGGTGCGGGTCAAGAAGGTTGAGGTGCAGGAGAAGGGGCAGAAGCTGCGTCCATTGAATGGACTGCCGAGAAATAGGACATTTAGAAAGGAGGCTGGATTGGAACGGTGGCCCTATGGGATAGGCCAAAGTACTGAGAATCCCTCCTAACTCAGGCTGGGATTGGTCGAAGTCAGTTGGTGGCACTGTAGAGAGCAGTACAGGACTGGGTGTGGGAACTGCTCTCAGCCTGAGATCTTGCCAGAGAACATCTGTGTGGAGTAGCCTGGTGCTGCTCGAGCTCTGCTAGTCTGCAAGGGAGACCTGAGGGTGCTGGGGCGTTTGGCATGAGCGCAAAGCCAGAGCAGCTCTAACTGAGGAGAACTGACTGTCGGAGACTGGGATTCGATGGTGAGAGGAGCAAGAGCTTGTCTGGCTGGACTGGTTGGGCCTTGGTGGGAGATGCTGCTTGAGTGAGGTGTTAAAGGATGGTCAGACAGAATGGTGACTCCTAGCTGGGGGAGCAATGGAGAGAGGGCCTCCAGGGCAGGAAGGGGTGAGCTGTTGAGAAGACAGGGATGTGCTGGACTGGAGCGAGGACTTCCTCTGTCCAGGAGAGAAGGGAGAGAGAGGATTACAGCCATCCACAGAAAGCCTGGAATGCCAGGAGCTCCTGGGCAGAGATGGTGGCCAGCTGGCAGGGGGAGCCATTGACGGCTCTCGGCGAGAGCAGCATCCTTCTAACTGGATGAACTTGTGCAGGGCGGGGACGATCGTAGGAGCCTGTGAGGGCAACCGGAAAGGGGAAGGGCCTGAGTTCCAAGGCCAGTTAAGCCTTGGGAGGACCCCTTGATCCCTTGGGTGAAGGGTATGTGGCATCACAAGAAAGAAACTTCCACAGGGGTTGGGCTACGTACGCTGCCTTGAAAGAGGTCTTAGCTCCTCAGAGCACAGACTACAATGACATCTGACCCCGGCATCAGGACAATTCCCTTGATTCTGCTCACCATCTATTTTCTCTTCTGTAAACTGGGCACGTTGGACCCTGTCTCCACCGCAAGTGGGAGGTGAATGAGAGGATGAGGGAAGGACCAGCACAGGGCTTAGAACATTGTAGGTGCTCAAGGGAGAGTGCTTGTTCCCCAGCTCCCTGTGTGCGGCCACTCAGGCCCAGCCACGGGCCTCCCAGTCACCTCCAACCAGCTGGCTGGAGCCTCCGCCTTCAGAGGTCATTCCATTTCCCCCCCCCTTGCATTCATTAACCGGCACTCACACTGCATTTCTGAGCACCTGCGATGTGCCAAGTGGGGTACAGAGTTGAGACAGACCCCTGCTCTCTGACCTTTTAGAGTTTATTTTCTTTTTTCCGTTCACTTACACACCTAGAGCCCCACTTCAGGCTGTAAGGAGGCAATGGGGGTGGGATGTCTTGGGGGGCTAAAGGTAAGCATTGTGGGTCAAATGGGCCCCGCAGGTCACGCATCTGCATCGGGGAAGAGCAGGAAGCCGGAGAAGATGCTGTTGGCCCCTTCCATAGACACCAGGGAGTTCTTCTCAGTGGCTTGCAGATACACCTGCTCCTGGCGGCCCAGCTTGAGGACCACGCCCCCCGTGGTGACCTGGAAGCTGCTTTGGACGTAGTCGCAGAAGGTGACCACCTTCTGCATGGGGTTGTTGCCGCGGAGCAGGTTGACGCACAGGTTCCCCCGTGAGCTGGCGTGGTAGGTGAAGTAGTAGAGGCCGGGCACAGTACAGGTGAACTTGCCGCTGCGGGGCTCGTAGTTGTGGTTCTCGTTGGTGATCACGTGGTCAAAGCGGATGACCTGTTCTCGCCGCAGGATGGAGTTGATGGTCCGCATGGCCGAGAAGGCAATTTTCTGTGTGGCCTTGTAGTCTCCCGATTCACCCTTGGGCCCCGGGGCTCCAGGGAGCCCTGAGGGACCTTTGGGGCCAACCGGGCCCTTGGGGCCAACCTTTCCTGGATTCCCCGGAAGCCCTGGGTCCCCCTTCTCTCCAAACTTGCCATGGTCACCAGTTATTCCCGGCAGCCCTGAAAAAGCAGAGACGAGAGAAATGGGGATCCAGAGATCACTGAGAATGAGAGTCAGGAGGCCTGTGGGCCTGGCTGTGTGACCTGGACTGGGTCCCTGACCCTCTCTCGGCCACAGCTTCCCATCAATGAGAAAGAACAGGGCTGGTTTGGGAGGATCATCATCCAACATCTCCAAGTCTCCCTCTGCCCCGGCTTTGCCAGACAGGGATGTTCTGAAAGCAGCTCCCCCCAGGAACAGCAGGGACTGAAGTCTGAGCAGCTGTTCCGCCCCACACATGTCCTGAAAGTCAGCCTCAGCCTATCTGCTGGGCCTGGAAGCGAATCTCAGGATCCTTCTCATTCCACCTCTCCAGGCTGCTCCTGCCCCTTGGTCTGGCCTGACACTCCGCTCCAGCTTCATTCCGGCAGCCCGGCAGAGTACAACGGGGAGACCAAGGGCTCCGGGGGCTGAGAACTGTGTTTCTCATGCCACGTTTTCTTTTAATCATTTTTTCAATTTTTAAAAATCAATTCACCATGAATTACTCCGTTATAAAGTTAGTCGTGATGAAGCTTCAGGCATGTCATGTCAGATTTTCTTTATTTCTTTTGTTTGTTTTTGGGGCCCCACCCAGTGATGTTCAATGGTTACTTCTGGAGATGGTTACTTCAGGACCTGGATTGGGTGTGTGCAAGGCAAGCACCCTACCCACTGTGCTATCTCTCTAGCCCTGTCATGTCCCGTTTTCTTAGTTGTGTCCCCAGACTGAGTCACCTTCTCTGAACCTTAGCCTTCTTTCTCATCGGTACTGAGGCTGGTGGCATTCAATGGGATTGTGCAGACGAAATGAGATTATGTGAAGGGTGTGCTTGGCTAGAACCACAGGTTCAACAAATGAATTAACTATGATTGTAGGGGCAGCGGGTGTAGAATAAAGGTAGGAAGTGCCATCTGAACCCTGTGACCACCTTACTGATGCATCATTGCCCACATTTCACAGGATGGAGAAAGGAATTCAGGGAGATGGAGGCCCATTCTCTGGAGGGCTGGTTGGGGACAGAGCCGTGCTTCCTAGCTGAGGTCATGATAAGAGAGCCTCAATTGGTCTCAGTGTCTACCAGCCTGCAATGGGCATGCTGATAGCCTCTCTGGCTATCAGTTTCCCTGCCTGTGTGATGGGAAGCAGAATTTCTACCTTTATGGGTTATCGCCAGGGCTCTGCAAGCAGCAGAAGCAAACCACCAGCTTGCCATCTCTAAGGTGTCACTTGGCAGGTTGAAGCTGGGGTATCGGTTCGTGCGTCCCCAAAGTACCTTTCTCTCCTTTTATCCCTGGGTTTCCGGGTTTGCCGTCGGTGCCAGGGACGCCAGGGATGCCTGGGATGCCAGGGATGGAGGCGGGACCGGTGCAGGTGGTCTGGGCCTGGCAGGCACCAAGCAGGAACAGCAGCGGCAGCAGCACCAAGACACAGCCCCTTGGGGTCTTCATCATCATCTCAGCTGTTTCCTGGGGGTGCAAGAAGAGCTATCAGCAGCTCCCTGTGGCCGGGACTCCCAGCTCGTGTGTGCATTCATTCATTTGACTGTGTTAAGTGAATATGTCTGATCTACCTGGGCCTGGCACAGGGACTGGGGACACAGAGATGGGCCTGGTATACAGGACCACAGGGGGCTGGGGACACAGGGCGATCACAGCAGGATGCTGCCTGCCTCCTGGGAAGACAGACAAGTCCAGGGTGCTCTCTGAGTCAGCACGGAGGAAAGGTGGACAGGGAGGGGACCTGCTGCGGGGGGGCTGGGAGAGTGGAGGTAAGTGAGGCCCTCCCGCCAGCAAGGTTTCTAGATGGGGCTGTAGCTCTGTGATGCTGAGAATGGAAGGTTTAGAAAGGGTCCTGGTAAGAATATCCCTGAGAAAGCAGCACACACCTATGTATGGGCTCACCCGCACCTCAGCTGGGGATGGGTAAATCCTTTTTTTCCTTTTCCCCCACCTGTATTGTTGTTGGGTCACACCCAGGGATACTCAGGAGTTATCTCAGGCTCTACACTCAGGAATTACTCTTGGTGATGCTCCGGGGATCATATGGGATGCTGAGGATCAAACCTGGGTTAGTCAAGTAAAGGCAAGTACTCTACCAGATGTACGATTGCTCCGTCCCTTCCTTATTTTCTTTTTCTTGATTTTCTTTTGTCTGTTGTTTATTTGGTGTTTTGTTGTTGTTGTTGTTGTTGTGTTTTGTTTTGTGGCCACAGCTGGCAGTGCTCAGGGCTTACTACTGGTTCTGTGCTCAGTGAATACTCCTGCAGGGCTCGAGGGACCATATGTGGTGCTGGAAATCAAACCCTGGTTGGTTATGTGCACTTGTACCTGCTATATTACCACTCCAGTCCCCCTTTAGTTTTCCTTTGTGGGGTTTCTTGGCTCCCTTTAATCTGAAGAAACCCATTTTATCAATGAGACACTTTCTCCTCTCTCTCTCTCTCTCTCTCTCTCTCTCTCTCTCTCTCTCTCTCTCGCTCCCTCCCTCTACCCCCCACTTAGGATTCCTAAATAATAAAAGAATGTCAGAGGAGACAGGAAAGAACCTTGAGACAAAGGCACTGAGGCAGGATGCAGCCTGCAGTGTGGCCTGGGGGAGCCCAGAGCCGAGGGTGCTGAGGCCTTGGGCCACAGTGACTGAATGCTGAGGAGACGGGCTCTGCCATGACCAGCACCCCTGTAGCCCTCTGGGCCTCTGTGGAAAAAGCTGCTGTCGGGACACTCCAGAGGTACCGGCACTCAATGTGGCTGTGACACTTGATCAGGGGCACGCACTAAGGGCTGTAAGCAGGGCTGACAGCCAGAATATGGCAGAACATTCTATCGTATGGATACATCAGCAGACGCTTAGACATCATATGGGAGTGTGGGAAGTTTGCACCATCAGGCTGTTGGAATAACATAAACACCCCTATGTCAGGGCCTGCTTGAGGACCTGTTTTTAATTACTTGGGGTTTATATTTCAGAGCAGAATACTCAATTTGATGCTAGTCTATGTTTAAAATATTTGTTTTTACACCACACCTGGCAGTGCTGCAGGGCTCACTCCTGGTGGTGTTTGGGGGACCTTTTCATGGCAGGGATCAAATTCGGTGCTCCAGAGTACAGAACCTGCTCCCCGACCTTCCCTTCTGAGCCATCTCCCTACCCTGAATTTAACTTCTCTGAGGAACTCTCAGCCTTCTGCTAAGTCTCCTCCATCCATCTCTCCTCATCCACGATTTGCATGTCATCACCAAGTCATTATCCCTTTGCCCAGATGCCAATTCTCCTCATTCTAAGGCTCCATTCGAAGCCCTCCTTCTCCACGCAGCCTGCCCTGATTCCCTCTCAGCCCACAAAGGCTACTTTTTGCTCTTACGCTGAGGGAGTAGAGAGGTACCTGCCCACATCCCTGGGTAATGTGGGGAACTCAGGGGAGAACAGACTAGTTAGGAATCGTGGTGTTCCTGGTCTCTGTGAGGATTGTGGTTGCCATGGTTGGATCCTTACGGAGCACTGAGGATGTGGGTGTGATTCCCTGCCCTGCAGGTGAGGTGATGGAGGTGTTCTCATTAGAAAAGCAGCAGATGGACACAGCCAGGCTTTGGTCGGACCCTGCTCTCTCTGCCTCACACAGACAATCCTGGTCCAAACTGTCGTTCCTGGCATGGGAAAATTCTCCTGGTTTCTGCTTCAAATTCTCAGAAAACCAGCTCCAGCCTCTCGGTCAGGTTTAATTAGTTTGTTGCCCAGAGGCTGAGCCTTGTACAGAGGACAAGAGTCCGTGGTGTGGCCCTGGGCTTCTTACTGCTGACCGTGGCTGCAGATGGCTCCCAAGCAGGAACAAGAAACCTGGGTCCAAACCATGTCTCTGCCGCTCCTTACTCAGGATCTCGGAGCAGTCCCTTCTCCTGGCCACACTTCCTTTTCCACAGAAAAGTGGGGAGCTGCACCTCTGACCTTGTGGGGCTGGGGGAGGACCTATGAGTTAGGCACGAAATGAATATTGGCTGTGGAGATTTATTCTCACCAACACCAGTTGGGAAATCAAAGGTTGGAGTGCTCGCTCAGGATGGGAGATACATGCTGACAGTAGACGATGGATCGAACATGACGCCCACCTAGTACCCATATAACAAGCCATAACACCCAAAAGGAGAGAAAGAGTAAAAGGGAATGTGCCTGACACAGAGGCGTGGGGGGGGGGGGGTGGAGGGGTGGGGGTGGGGGTGGGAGGGATACCGGGATTAGTGGTAGTAGAGAATGGGCACTGGTGGAGGGATGGGTACTCGATCACTGTATGACTGAAACATAATCACAAAAGTTCGAAAATCTGTAACTATCTCACGGGATTCATTTAAAAATTTAAGAAATAAATCAAAGGCTCAGGTTTCTTTGGAGATGGGGTTCAGAGTGTGGGGCTCTCTTTGGGGGTTATATCGAGGTGGGGTGCTCCCAACAGCTGGGTGAGTGGATGGAGGAAGACCCAAATCCTGGTTCACGTTAGGCACACTGAGTTTCAAGCCCCCTGGTATGGACTTAACCCTTGGCCCCCCTTGATCAGCCCACACCCCCTGCAGCTTCTTTGCTCCTTCCTCTTTCCCGTGAATGTCCCGTGAACTCTGCTGCTCCTCACGAAATGACCCTGGGCAAGTGTCTCTGTGGCAAAGTGAATCTCTCCCTGAGAGGCAGTCAGAGGGTCAGCTCACACACCGCACCCCATGCTCCTGCCCTCTCCCTGACAAAAAGGCCCAAGATCCTGGCTCCTGGATCCCAGTCCCACCTTCATGGTCGTGGTATCCAGGAGAGGCTATACTGGGAGTTTTTTTGGTAGAAAGAGAAGCAGGTGCTGGAGAAAGGCTGAGGGTCCAGGATCCCAGAGTAACCAGGTCTAACCCGGTCTAACTGGATCTAAACCTGGGATTGACTTGGTGTCCTGCAGGGCAGCCCTCTCAGATTTATTCCACTTGTGCCACCTTTTCTCCAAGAAATTGTTACATGACTCTAGACGTTGAGGCCTATAAAGTAGGGGGGCTGGAGAGATATCTCAGAGGGTAGGGCTTGCTTTGCATCTGGTTTGATCCCTAGCATACCAGGTGGTCCCCCGAGCACTGCCAGGAGTGATCCCTGAACACAGGGACCTGAGGAGTACAGAGCACTGAGCACTGTGGGGTGTGACCCCCAACGAAATAATAAAGAAATAAAATGGGTGTATTTGCTACCTACTGAAAGCAAACAGTCAAGAAATTTATTTTAAATTGTGGTTTTTAAAAGTTAGGTGAGGGGCTGGAGTGATAGCATAGTGGGTAGGGCATTTGCCTTGCATGCGGCCGACCGGGGTTGAATTCCCGGTATCCTATATGGTCCCCTGAGCACCGCCAGGAGTAATTCCTGAGTGCATGAACCAGGAGTAACCCCTGTGCATCTCCAGGCGTGACCCCAAAAAGCAATTAAGTAAATAAATAAAAGTTAGGTGAGCCCACGTGAGGTAATGACCCACAGTTTAAGAAGCTAGGCCTGAACGCTCCTGCATCTCAGAGGTCCTGTGAACCCCCAGAGAGGCTTAGCGGAGATTAAGTGACTTGCCCAAGATCAATCACTCATTCTCAGGGACTTTGGTCATTGGTCTTTGGGCTCCATTTCAAGCTGCTCCCTGTTTCTGACTTCCCCCATAGAGTTGGAAAGACTTGGCGCTGGGACCCACTGGAACCACTCCCCTCTACCCCATTTGTCCTGCTATCCAGCACCCCCCAGGGCTGAGCCTCCTTCTTACCTGGGAACCTGGGCTCCCTGATGCCGGGGGCTGGGACTGCACGGCCAAGCAGGGCAGGAGCCAGGAACCTGCTGCGTTCAGCCCCAAGCAGAAGTTCCATTCCCGGGCCGGAAGGGCCTGCCCCAGCCACTGCCCTCCCAGCCCTTCCCACCACCCCACTCGCATCCAGACCGCTGCCCGCTTCCAGTTTCAGGTTCCGTTTCTGCAATCTGGAGGGGCTGACCGTAAATGCTGGCTTGGTTTCGCTGGTTCAGCAGCTGGGGGCGCACAGCTATCGGGGTGAAGGGACACCATGGGGAGTAGGCTCGCAAGCCCTGAGCTCATGACCACCATGACACGGGAAGGGTCCAGGCCTGAGCTCTGGATTTGCAGTGGAAAGCCACGACTCTGCATTCCAACTCTGCCGCCAGTGTTAAACATTCTTCGCCAACTTCAAGAGAACCCCAATTTCCCCGCTGTGTAATGGGATGGCTGCACCTACCCTGCCGGCCATATGGGGGTACCCGGGGGAGTGAGCAATTGTCAACTGTAAAGTGCAGTACTCCTGTTCCTCATCCCTACCACGTCCCGCGGCCCCCACCCCCCCGCCCCCATCCCAGGCATCCTCTTTCTGGCCTCATCTTCTCTCCTTTCTGCCCATTCTGCACCCCTGCTCTGTCCCTGTTCTCAGAAGATAATCTAATAATGAATTTTAAATGTGATCATTATTTATTTATGCTCCTTCCTCTGCCTCCAGCGGGGCTTGAAGCCGATGACAATAATAGGCGCAGGCAGGGGCCTGTTGCTGGTGGATCCTGGAATCACACCAAGTTAGCACTGGGCAGGGGCTGGGAGGGCACCCGCCTCACCTGGTCATTTTATATAGGGAGAAACAGGCCCAGAGGCCAGTGGTGAGGGGGTCATCACTCAACAGTAGAGCCAGGGAGGACAGAGTTGCACTCCGGCCAGGTCCTGGAGACAGAGCTATGAGCAACTCTGCCTCTCTAATGTGGGATTCTCCCAGAGCTGTGAGCCACCTGAGTGGCTTCATTACTCCGGAGATAAATTTGGCAGAGAAGAAGTGATGCTGGAGCCCACCTCTCCTGCAAGTGGAGGATAGGACACTGGGCGCCAGGAACCAGCCCCTAACTGGGGCTGCAGGAAGACCCTGCGATGCTCCACTCCGGGTCAGTCAGCTCTGGACAAGCACCAGGTGGTCCTAGGAGCAGGGTCTCCTGGGCATCTGGGTTTG